ATCACAGGAGATACCTTGAACTCCTGAGAAAGTTAGAACGCAAGTTATTGAGAACGTTGCAAAGGCATGACTGATTCTCCAGAGATTCATAAAATGCTTCATAAAATCTAGTGGCCGATTTCGCAACAAATGCCCCCACTCTACTCACATTTCTTCAATCCATCGTTCAAGAAAAGTTGGGCAAGTAATATTCTACTTAGCACCCAACACTTTTCATAATCCTTCCATCTTTTTTTTATAATCAGTTGCATTTTTTCAATGGTTGCAGCCGTAATTCTTGACTTATCTTGTCATTTACCTAATCTAATAGTGTTCAACCTTTTTCTGATTGAAGACATTTCTGATGTTTCTATCTGTGTGTAATCCTTTGGTTTCCCATGTTTCTGAACAGTGCAATAGCATGGGAATGGTCCTAACTATATAAAAAAATTGCGTTTCTTTTCCCTTTAAGAATTTAAAAAAGTTTTCCCTTTAAAAAATCGTCTTATAATCCCAAATATTTTTTGAAAGTTATTTGTTTGTACAAGCACCGTGGCCTTTGCTTTTGGTATGGACATTTTAAAAATTACAATTAAAAAATAAAAAATGCAGTTTGTGTATAGCCAATTACAATTTTCCTTCCTTATCTCGCCTGGCCACCTGGACATTGCCAAATAGCGTAGTATTCAGAAATTCATATCGATTGATCTTTATTCCTGTACGAGCGGTTTCGTTTCATTCTCATTAAACTGCAATGCATGACCATAAGGGCCTCTTATATTCATGTAAAGATACTGAAAGTATAAAATATTTCAATTATATTTTCAGGTATTTGTTTAACAGTGTCAAATTGGATAGTTATGTATTGTACCAAAATTTGTAAACGCCAAACTTTGTTTTGGCGTTTGACAGGTGTAAACGTTTGAACATACTAAACACAGTATGATTCAATTAATGTTTTGGCAATAAATTAAAACGTTCTTATATTTTCAAAACATGTCCCTTTAAAATTAGAGACAGATTTTTAAAAAATGTATTACATATAAAATTAAAATCAACATCACTTTCTCGACAGTCTTTAACGACGTTTTGGGACTAATTGCACCCCATCTGCAGGTCTATTGCGATACATTAAAATTCGTTTTACTAAATGAACATACAAACAATAATTTAGGAAAACATTTTGACATTCACAAACATTTTTAATATACGAAATGTGAAGAACAAACGAATATCTTTCTAGTACTGTACTTTTCTGTAGTAGTATTCAGTTGCTTATCTGACCTCTCATGAGGAAATATACAGGCAACGCAAATTAACATTTAAGGTTTTAAAACTTCTTAAAAATCTTCTTGAAATTAAAAAGGCTATTTTTACTATTACTCAAGGTTCATTCGTCCCCTACCAATCTAAGAAAGTAGAGCTCACCTGTTTATTACGAAGAGGAAGTCTTGTACACTTGTCACTGACACTTGCATGCGGTAGACCTACTTTGTTCAGGGCCGGGAGCAAGAATGAAAGAGTTATCGAGCTGTGGCTGGGCCACGGGAAGGGGAGGCAAGAAACAGGAGGGGTTGGGAGGGGAAAGCAGGGATCTTCACTTCAGCTGGCAGTACTTTCCAATTTTACAAAGAAACCTGTCTCTGATTTTGCTTTTCTCGATTTCTTAAATAAGTAGGGAACGAATTGGTGGGGAGCTTTATAAAAGAAGTCCATTTTTAAACTAGTAAAGCTAATACAGCACGCACTTTCTCACAAAAATAGACAAAAAATACTGACATTTACGAAAAATTGTACATGATCTTTCAAAATATATCTTTAAGAAACATACTTTTTTAAAGTGGAAATATCTGTATCCTCATAATTGTAGTTGCAGACTAATGTCGAAAAAATTTAATTTTTAGCAATTTTCGAAAATCAGTGTTTTTAACGAAAATGATACCGGGATCATTCTCTGAAACATCCTTCACACTATCCTAATAACAATGTGTAATCAAAAACAATGGAGCTTCTTCTTCTTTTTTTTTTTTTTTTTTTTTTTTTTTTTTTTTTTTTTTTTTTTTTTTTTTTTGAAATTCAAGGATATAACATTAGACATATTCATCACGATTGGTGTACCTAGGGACAGCAACTGTTGACTGTGTCTTGGGACGACTCTGTACCTAAGGGCAGTGACTGTGTGTAGGGACGTCACATAATACATAATTGTAGCAATAAAATGGAATTCTTTTAGTTTCAGGATGTAATCTAGTCTTGCCACGAAGCAAAGGAAACAACAAAAGGCCTCAACCACAAGTAAAACAATTGATGTTCTCAGAATAATCAAGACAGATCCCAACCGAAGTTCTTGTCGAGAATAATGACTTTTCCGTTTACGTTCACCTTCACTTTCACTACGGTCAATTTTTTGGGGTGGAATTTTAGGGTTTTGCCATATCCCAATTCACTTGATATTTCAGAATATGATAGACATATGACAGGAGTTAATCGAAGAATAAATGTAAACATTGTGCCCTATGGGCTGAAATGTATTGTAATACAAGACAAGCCCACAGGATCTAGAACTGCACGTCGGCATTTTGCAGGTACACTCAAAAAACCAAGATTGACATTAACATATTTCAAGAAATTATTAATTGAGGTGTATAATACTAATCTTTCAGTGGTGGGACAATGTTGACAAAAATTGAATACCACTAGCTCAAAAGATGTAAAAATAAACATACATTGACAATTGACGATGCTTACAAAAAATATAAAAGCATTTGCACGCAAAACACGATAAAGCTACTGATATTGAATTTATGAGAATAATTGTTGACCACAATGTAAACATAATCGAAAATATTTATATACGTTAGCAAGTCTTATGCCCAAATATTGAAGAAAGTAATCCCGTACTATGAATACCCTCTGAAATGGGTGAATTCAAAACTCGTATTTAAAAAACTTTTCGAAGCAAATATTTCTTTTAATGTATATTATTTGCAAAGATAGATCATTCAAACAGAAAATATAATATTCATATGTAACACCAGAAGAAATAAAATATTGTTGTTTCATTACAAATATGTGAAATTAAAAAAAAATCAGAAGTTTTTCCATATTTTTCTTGAAAATGAAATGTAAAAAAATAATAATAGTTTTTATACACGTGTGTTTCGTCATCTTTGACAGACAGACTTAAATATTGTTTTAGTGATACTAATTAAATCAAAATTCTGATTATTATAAACGTTCTTTTTGTATCTAATGTAATTTTATTACTAGTTTTGTCTCTCTAAGTAGGTTATTTAATTTAGATATTGTTTCTTGTGATTTTATGTACGTAAACAGAAAATGTACGTAAAATGTAGTTTTTTTATTGGTTGATTGATTAGTGACTCCGTGCCCGCCAACTACTAAGGTCATTACAACCTAGCGTGTGCATGTTATTTTTTTCGGGAAGTGACAGAGATCTTCCCCTTCTGAATGGTGAGATCCGGCGCTGACATACACATCGGCTAGCAGGGTTCCCCCCAACCAGGTATCTCTCTCTTCAGTGGGGCACCGCCACCGCCGGGGCAAGTGTAAGCTCCCGATCGGTCTCCCGGCATGTGTGGTAGTGTAGTGAATGCAAGGGTATGTTTGTCTGTCTGTGCTGGTACAACAGCCTCTGACGGAGCCAAGGGCTACCAGCGGCGTGCCAACCTAGCGGCCATGGGTTAAGCGGTACGTATGGTTAACATATAGACATCCCTGGACTTCTCAAGCTGAGAAGTGACCTTACTCATCGTCACACAGCAACAGATACTAGGACATTGCGAGGAACGCGCGCCCTATAATCTGCCACGACCGGGGATCCAACCCGGAGTCGCGTCATGGAAAGCCAGCACGTTGACCCGTGGGTTGAATGTAAGGGTAAGTAGTGTAATTAATGGGCGAGTATAGGACAAGGCAGAGGAAGGAAAGATCGCGCGCGGTCATTAACCCATTGGTTAGGGAACTGCTCCGGCATTCGCCTGGTGTTGATGGGAGAAACAGCGGAAAACTACCGACCAGAGCAGCCGGCCGTTAGAATTCTCCTCCAGACAGCGACTGAACTCGACCTAGCTATCTAACAAGTGTTGAAAATCGTGCCACCGTCGGGACTCAAATACATTTGAGTAATTTTTAAAAAAATAAAAGAAGGCAGCAAAATGACATTTATGTCATTTTATACACTGTATTTAGCTGAACCCGTAGAAAACATTAAAGAAGAAAGTAGGAGCTCTTTTGAAGAAAATTGTGTTTTTAATATTTTTAAAAGTATGATAATTAACATAATTAGTAATACAATAATTAATTCAACATATTTCACTCAAAATTATGCAATATTTTTTCAAGAGAATGTACATGACATTAATGAAAGGACTAATTGTGGAGAAAAAAATGTCATTTGACGAAAAAATCTATCTTCAGTATTGTAGGTAGGAAGACGCCGAAAAAATTCAAACTTTTGTAATTTTCGAAAACTAATAAATAACAGGGAAAGTCGGACTTTGGCTATCTTTATGAGTATATTTCACTTTATTCTTAAAATAAATGTAAAGAAAAATATTGAAGTCAGTTTTGAGATAATTTTCAACATGTTCCCGGGGCTTCATGTAAAGTACACCAAATATTTAAGGAATGTTTTTCAAAATCGCAGAGTTTCGAGTCGGGCTAGATCAGCATGGGAACATTCATTTTGGGAAAAAATCCATTACAGTACTGCGTAATTACTCCATTTATACGTACGTATACGAGAAAGAAAAATGTGGCTTAAACAGAAAATGCGCTGTATACACATTATACTCAGATATAAAGAGAGTGGCATATCACATTCACGAGCTGGAAGGAGAGGGAGACATTGTCATCCAATCGAAAGCTCCTATATCGGAAATTTTCGTCGTACCGAAGCGCCCGATTGGATGGAATTGCCCCTTCTCCGTCCAGCTCGAAGCCTTCAAGTGCCACTTAGTTTAAATCGCAGTAAACGTATTCCGTTCCGTCTGAGTTTGTGCCTGCTACAGACGCCCTTGCCCCGGCTCAAGCAATAACACTGTTGGCGCAGGTGCGCGCTTTGGCAGGAATCGACCGATTGACAGGAGAAACCCCGGAAACGACGGAGCAGGGCTGCCACCCTCTGGCGCCGGGCTCGTCGCGGCTGCTTCGCGAGGGTCCACAATCTGGCTCTGTCGGGACTGGAACCGACGATCCATCACGTTCTAGTTACAAACTCCTAACATCACAAGAGCTATCTCACCCGAAACTGTACTCAACTGATGAAGGTAAACAAGTACGAATGCATATTTTAAAGATAAAAGAAAATTAAAATTATTCTCATATTGAGAAAATCGAGTTATTTAAGTAGTTGTAAACTTTGTTGTATATAAAATTTGTAAGCTTTAGTGTGTAATTGCTTCTGGACATATATGTAGCTTCACTGTGCACGTTTTTGTTGTTTTTTTCGCTCTCCTTTTGGATTGTATAATTTTAAAAGACTAAATTTACCTGCAACAAACATTGCATCTCAGCTTCTGGCTCAATGACCCCCATCTCGATCAGGTTTTCATGCAGGTTCCCTGGTGCATTGAGCAAATGCTGAGATGGCTCCTTGATTTGCTTCTGGACATAAATGTAACTTCACTGTATACATGTTTTGTTGTGCTCTCCTTTTGTTTATTGTGGTACAACTAGAGCTAGGTGTTAATAGTTGCAATTTTGTTAGCAATACTATAAAATCAAATCTGAAGTTCGTTTACCGATGCAAATGATTTGTTCTACAACTCAAGATCGAAAATGTCGCGTTTTCAGGTGTTACTAACCTCACTACGCTGTCACTTGTATTCACCATTCAAATATTTATGGTGCAAGGATGAGGAAGAGATTCCGGAACTCGAGAAAACCTCATTAGATTTGTACTTCTTTCCTACGCATCACATACAGTTTTAGTGTTCATTGACGACAATAAATTTAAATCAATACAATTACAGTTACTTATTTTTACCAATGAATCTTGCTTGAAATCTTGAAATCCTTTCCAATGATCTTTCTTGAAATCCTTTCCAAGATATGTCCAAACTTTGCGTTCATTTTTTTTTATCAAAATGAATGACATCTGTTCTGTGGGAGAGCACCATCAACTCCAATTCCACCGATACAATACATATTGAAGGAACAGTAATGAAACTTTGGTAAGAAGCACTTATTAATATTTTTAAGCTTTTGAGTCCTCAAGGGAACTCAAAACTGGAACAGATATTCTCTTACGGAAATGCCTCGCAGGTTAGAGGCTGGGATTCAGTGAAGTAGCGTGGGAAAATCAAATGAGTAAACAACAGCACCAAGATTGGAACGTTTCGAAGTAAAATCCCCAATTTCAGTTATCAAATAGTGAAAACCTTGAACCAGAGAACGAATTGACTTTCTCTAGAGAGGGACATTCAAAACTCCATGAGAAGACGAATTGAAGAATAAATGAGTAATCTTCACTGACGCCACACAGTCTGAATGAATCATAGGAATTCTCTCGGGAATGTTTTCTTATTCAATTTCAACATTTCAGAGTCGAATCATAACGACGTACATGTTACAGAGTGTGAAATCATAACGAGGCACATTAATTTTATCGGAATGAAGAAGGAATTATTACTTTTCCAGCAGGGGACGTCAATCTCTTTATGAAGGGACAACCACGGCACACACACACGCGAGCGCGCCTTGAACACTGAAGAAATGTATCAATCGAATTTCTCAGAGCGTGCATTATTAAATTTTTAAAGTATAAGTCCTCATGCACAATGAAAACTTCAACGTAAATATGACGCATCCGCAAAACCTAGAAATCAGTTATCAAGCGAGACCATTCACAACACCTTGACGTAAGCGTAAATCCGTGAACTAGAGAGTTCACAAGCACCAAACTTTTACGTGAAGTTTACGTCGGAATTCTACCGAAGACCATTCAGAGAGCAGCCTGAAAGAAACAAATGCACAACAAAATCCGCGAGAGGCAAATGAAAGGTCGATTTCATATTGTGTTCAGATAGGTAATCTGGGGGCAGAGTTGCCGACGTTTCGACCATTCTGTCGTGGTCTTCCTCAGGGCTGGTATAGAGAGAGGAAGACCACGACAGGATGGTCGTAACGTTGGCAACTCAGCCTTCGACGCGGCGTCACCCGGACAGCCCAGATCACCCAAATGACTCTGGCCGCGAAAGCCTACGACTTCATGTGTTCAGGTAGTTTGTGGTTACGTTTGTGGTCAAGAGTTTCTCTGTCGAAAATTCGTTGTTTTCCGTTGCATAAAATACTCATCATACGAAGTAAGGCGAGAAAGTGAAAACCATTGAGAAACCTTTACTCAATTCCGGCTTCATTATGAACGTGGATGTGTGGCCATCTACATTTCACCCTGAGTTAACTTTTTTCTCATCTCATGACGGATTTTAAAAGAAAAATCAGAATGTTATAAATACCGGTTTTGTTATTTTTTTTAATTCGAAATACATCGCTTTCCAGTTTTGACCCTCCAGTAAATTGTAACATGACAACATGAAGTTGTTTTTATTTTACCCCATCTCTATAAGCATATGATAGGACATAAGGATAGGAAATAGCGGGAAAGTGCACTGAATACATTCAACATTCACATATTTATTTGCTTTAAAACATTCTACACTCAAAATGCAATACAAATCATGCAGAATATATAATACAATATTCAGCACATAGAAACAAAATTATATATAAAAAATATATATTCCAAATGAATTTCATCTAGTACAAAGCAGTGTCATATTAATAATGCTCGTCGCAATAAAATGCTAATCTATAAGTGCGATAAAATTATAATCATACTTTAGAAAGAACGTCGAAAAATGTATCATATACAACGTTCTTGAAAGAACGTTATATCTTTTTTATTATAGAAAAACATACAAGCAATCAAAATGCTCAATAATTTACGTATGATTTATGAAAGATAAAAAAGAATGTATAAATAGAATAACCACAAAAATAATGAATAATGCACTAGACTTTAGAATAAAATATTCTCCTTTGGTTCTTACAAACTAATGATCGTTTTTTTTTAAAAATATGACAGCAAATATGTCAATTTAGTAAACGAAATTGGTTTGGACTGAAGCTGATTTGAAACAAGAGGCTGAACAAATCCCCCTGTTTGCTGCCGATTATCGGTAAATAATATTGCAATTTGTTGCGGACAAAGCAGACAAAATAATTGACCGCCACAGCCACGCCTAAGCAACTACATAATCAACTTTTTAAATAAATATAGCATTTAAAAAGAAGTCAAATTTCATGAAAGTAATATCCTAACGCTGATCATTCCTACCCAGACATAGCCAAAAAAACAAAAGCTGATAATATCTAAAAAAATACATGAATTATTTACACATATCACTTTAGATGCTGTTACCTCATTGCTTTCGTATTATATTTAAATTTGGCGCATAACCTCTAATAAACAATTATAAGCTCTCCTTGAAAAATATCCAGGCAAAGCTCGTGCTTTTCACAGAATCGCGCGCCCGAAATGGCTTTTTATTTCCAAAATCCGCGAGCCCAACAGCAGAGAGAAAAACATGACAGGTAATATTCTACATTTAAAATATAGTGCTTCGCAGCGTCGCCACCAGAACGCAGCACTCTTTTGTCAAGCGCTCCTTGGACGCGGGAATTTCCAAGAAATAGACAAATCCACAGGCAGACGCTGGATCGCTTGTATTGTTCAAAGGCGAGCAGAGGAGCACCTGGTCGCTGAATTGCTGATGCATGGAGCAGAGTGTGCGGTAGAACCCCGGGAATCCGAACTAATTGGGATGTAGCCTGTTCGGATTATCCGAAAAATGCATCGTACATATACAAATACATCTACAGCATTACCTGACAATGCAACGTAGCGTGCGATGTGAAAAAAGTGCAACGAGCACTGCGAACGCAAATTCACATCGTATCATCAGACAGATTCAGTTCCATACGGAAAAAGATTGCCAAGTTTGCAAGTACTTCTAAATGAAAATTATTGCTACATAAGTATGTGATATCCGCCCTAGTTGCCAGTGCAATAAACGTTTCATTTCGACATCTTGTGGTTCAATAATTAGTTGTTTAGTTCTACAGCAATTATAAAATTCTTTCTGTATACTATACATAATAATTTCATTTATTTTGTTTATTTTTCCTCCGTCCCGAATTTTGTGCGGATTATCCGAAATTTCGGATTTGCGGGGTTCGTATTAGCGAAGTTCAACTGTGCTTTTGTAGACAAGAGCTGTTAGTCGCCATTCAAATATCAGTGTATTACTGACAATCTTTTCCGTACATGTAATGTATTCTCTTTGAGTACATACTGGCACGCGCACATTAAACGTGGAGGCCTCGCTGACGTGAGCCACGTGGAGGTTTGGTAAAAAGAAAGTCAAAATAACGCCAAGATAGGTGACTCTAATCTCGTTCTCGAAACATTTAGTGTTTGTACACAGATTCTAAGGCTTGCTTGTGCTGACAATATAATTGTTATACTTCAGAAACATCCGGGCATTTCAAAACACGCCAGTCCACATTTCCAATTTGATCTTTATTGCTCTCCCCCAAACGCTCACGACTAGTTTGAGGCCTTAACATGCTTTTTAGAAACGTCCGCAAAAGTGCACGTTATGACCCGTGCTTTCACGATCAATCACTTGCCTTCTACTGCAGGGACCAAGGATCTACCACCGTCCAAACAAAGCGGAAATTTTTTCGGATAAAATCGCAACAGCGTAAATCAAATCTAGTAGTGCTAACTGCTGTGAAATTAAGTATGATCTCGTTGACATTTTTAATTACTATAAGTGGTAAAATTCAATTTAAACACGGTAAGGTTACAATCAAACACCTTTGACTTGTTACTCATTTCCATACTCAGTTTCTGACGAATTCACATCAGATTCTCACCGTATTAATAAAGCAAACTAGACTTGAAGAAGCAGTTAATAACCTGCAGCAACTTCACAGCAGTGCCGTTAGCGAAGCCACGCGGAAGGAAGTGCGCGTTAGCAAAATCTGTGAAACGGAAGAAACGAACGCACTGTCATTTCTTTGAGAGAGTTATTTATTAAACTCATCTGTCACCGGACACTCCTTTGTGAGAGAAGTGGTTCTAGTTCTCGTTATTCGAAGTAATTTGACAATGTGTCCCGTCGTAGAAATATATTAAATAATAAATCAAAAGAAATCTCCCGCATTTTTCCTCTTAATTCAGATCAAAATCACATAAGGAGACCGCTTAATAAAGGTCAATATGTGAAATATGCCTGGTCGCTGGCCGCTGAAAAGAGGGAATATTTACACTACCTCATGGAAAATTCAATCGGTTCCACCGATAGCCATTAATGGAGATGACCGCTTAATGGAGGTGTTACATCGCAGATTCACTACCATATTGAATTTAGTGTGTGATTTTGCATTTTATTGCCAATTGAAAACCTTCAGAAATATACAACAGCGAGCGTCAAATACACAATTACTAATTTATTGAGCGTTTGGTAACATTCGCATATTTATAATGTTTGTTGTATTTGTAGTAACTATCCAGAAAACGCTACCACCGGTAATGTTATATGTGCTCCTAAGTAGCAAAGTAAATATTCTATTCTATTTAGCAATTGCTCAAATCTACCATCTCTACCAAACGGGTATCGATAGAGACAAGAAAATGGAGCGCGATAAATTCCAACGTAAGCAAAATTACGTTACTCATATTTTTGAAAAGAATAACACGACTTTATTTGAAGCTATGTTTTTGATGAGATTTCATTTAGGAAATTTTTCTATCTTAATTACTATAGTTGAAAAAAGTCGCTGAAACAAATGTAAGCATTAGTAATTTTCGAAAATTCAGAGTTCAACGAAAAATATACCACCCTACACGAGACTTTCTTTACCGTTCTTTCCTACATGCAAAGAACATGTTGGAGATGTTTTTGATTTTAAAAAATACATGTTTCAAGCAATTACGCAAAAAGTCTAGAGCGTCATCTTGTTTGAAGATCTATTTTGATGAGCTGATTTCATCAACTTTATTATTGTATTTGCAGCAAGACGCCTGAAACATTTTGAACATTTCAAATTTTCAAAAAGTTAGAGATTTCAACAAAAATGAGACCCCTACCACTTCTTCACGCTATCCGAGGTTAAAGTTTAACGCCAAAATTAACCCCGAAATTATTGGAAAACGACTATTTATTATTATTATTATTATTATTATTATTATTATTATTATTATTATTATTATTATTATTATTAGGGCATGTGGGGAGTGGTCGATTTGCTATTAACATTTTAATTTTCATTTTTTTAAGTCTTTAACTGAGTAATTTTGAAAGTTTCCTAAGATATCCCGGTGAACGCAAGGAATATAAGTTCATCTCATTATTTTTAGTTTTCGAACCGTTCTGAAGACTGAATTGCAAGAAATTTAGACACAAACTTTAAACCAAATATTGTACCTCAAATTAGTAGTTGTTCAAGCACTGTGTCCCTAAAGTTTACTTACAAGCATTAAAATGCGTATGAGATTGAAACAAAATTCTTCAAACTCCTTCGGACTGGAACATCACTCACTCTACACTCGCAAAATGTGAAGAAAAAAACTATATTCAAGAGACAAAACTGAGAAAATCTACTATGAATAAAAAGCCTACGCTTCTACGAAATATCGCAGACAATTCATCAATGTTTAATTCGGTTATATTTCCATACCATCTGACATCTCGCACAGCGCCCCTTCGCATTCAAAAATTGACTCCTTAAAAAGGAATAAGTTTCGTCGCGAAATTTCATTACGACCTTTAAAGTTGAGTATGTAAGTTCCAATTCTTTAACTTGTGTGCTCGCAGTTGCGATATTAATCTTTCATTCTCCACGTGATATTCTCTACTTGGAAAGTATGCATTACTAAGCGCTGTACTTGGTGTTGGCCCTGTAGGCATGCAATGAACCACGTGTTAACTGCCTATTAGCCTCACACGCTACGATCAGCACAGCTGTTTCGTCGGGCAGCAGCTACACTGCCATCTGTCGGGAGAGTTTGATAACAGACTTCTCAGTGACAAACGAACTTCGTTTCCTATATAAAATATCTTCAAACGCGTAAAAAATTAAACCAAATCGCTTTTGATTACATCACGATAACTATTCCTTGTCTAAATTAATTGATTTACACGAAAAAAATTGGTAGCCCCCAGGGAGGATCGAACTCCCGACCCCTGGTTTACAAGACCAGTGCTCTAACCACTGAGCTATGGAGGCTTACGCAGTTGCGGTGTTACAACACAATATATCAGTACGGTGGCCTCATTTCATTTAACCTACTTGTATACGCGTAATTTTGGCTACATTATTTTCATGGAATTGTATTTCTTAAGTTTGTACATGTACTTGCCCAAACTTCCACTGCATATAAAATTGTCTTTGCAAACAAAATGGAAACATTTTTAAAAGTGCATCGTTTCTAAGACGAAAAAAAAAAAGCATCTAAAATTTAAAATGAAAATTATTAGCACGAGTACCCTTCGTTTTCATTCGGTGCAACTCTAACCTGACCACGACAGCAGTTGCTGTCAATTTGTGCACACAATTTCTACATACTGCTTAGCACACAAGCAACAACACTGAAAAAGTCTGACGAGTACTCACACTTGTTCGAATGAGCGATTACGCCAGTAATACCGATTATCAAGCAAATGTCACTACACAACATGCATTAAATACGGGTCTTAGAAACACAATACAATCTACAAGTATTCCACCATGATTACACGCAAACACATGTGACCAAGTTCGGCCAATCTACGATCGCCGTACCGCAAAGAGTAGGAGTAAAGACAAACCACTTTTCCTTTGCATTAATAATTCATTTTTTCTTATTTCTAGCCCCAGAATTGAAAGAAATTGTCTTTCATTACTTCATTTCTAATTTAGTAAACAATTTTTGGGTAAACAATTTGTTTAGTTTAAGATTATTTCATTTTATCAACCTTTGCTCCATGACCGCAGAGTAAGTAAGGTCTTCGGAATACTGATGCCAAGTGACGTCCCTTCCTCTCGTCCTTCACTACTCTCTTCGCTACGGGAGGAGCCGCAAGGAAGGTGGGAGCCGTACTTGTGAGTGAATTAAGAAATTTTTAGTTGCTTTTTCGGGCAAATATTTAGAGAACTCTTTGCTTACATAATTGTCTGCAAGTGCTATTGTTATTGTGCTTGAATAGTATTTTTTAAATCTAAATTAATGAAAAAGTTCAAACGCGTTGGAATAGGTCAGGTTTGCGATTTTGTAGAAGTATTTCAATGTTAAGACTGCTATCTAAGTGGAGTTAAATGTATTAATTGTCTAATGAAAATTCCCCAATTTATCACGAAAATTCCAAATGTGGAGCGGGTGGTATGATGCAATGTGAATTGGCCATGAGCCAACGAGGTCACACGTGTATAACTGGTGTGAGTGTTAATTGATCTCCCGCCCAAATTTTTCTTTCAGGCTAGTCAATTGCCAAGCAGTCGCAATGGGTGTACCTGCCGGTGATGTGGAAAAAGGCAAGAAGGTAATTTGCAATAAATATATTGAAAGTGTGTAGTTAAACGTTCCGTCATTAGAATTTGGCCTGTCTCCTTAGATGAGCTGTTAGCCTACTAATTGTTTCTCAATGCCTTGCAGATTTTCGTTCAAAGATGTGCACAATGCCACACTGTAGAAGCGGGCGGCAAGCACAAAACTGGTCCCAATCTTCATGGTCTTATCGGTCGCAAGACCGGTCAAGCCGCTGGCTTCAGCTATACAGATGCCAACAAGGCGAAAGGTGGGTTATCAGTTGTTTTACAATTTAATCAATGAATAGTGACTTGATTTTTAAAAAATATTGATCTAAATTTTTTTGAAAAAAAGATGATGTTATGTATGCTGTTGTTGCAACGTATAATTGCTTAGTTTAAAAAACTCTTGAAATGCATTTATTAGGTATCACATGGAACGAGGATACATTGTTCGTCTATCTTGAAAACCCAAAGAAGTACATCCCTGGCACCAAGATGGTCTTCGCTGGCTTGAAGAAACCTCAAGAACGAGCTGATCTTATTGCGTATCTAAAAGATTCGACGAAGTAGGCTCAAATGGTTTTAAATTATTAAAATAGTAATATAATAACTACCCTCTGGCTAGGGAAGTGGACTTGTATGTTAAGAATTAATAGAATGTAGTATGTGACTTAAGTATACTGAAACATCAAGTATTCAGCAGTACAAATTCATCCTGACAGTTCATGGAATCGTGTTGTCATCAGTAAAATAACTTAACTTATTTCATATTTTATGTCTTGTAATATTACTGGAATTCTGTATTGTGTAAAAGTTTCCATGTACTCAAGTTCACAAAACTGCTATTAATAAATGGAAACAATTGAAAATTGTTTATATTTCCATTAACCACATTCCAATTCCATTTTATTTATTGAACCTCTGAAGCTTTACAAAATGTGTAGATTAATATATTGGTTTTCCAGTTGCTTCAAATTGTTGGCAGACCCAAATTCCCAATAAATTTGTAAAGGTCATGAATTCTAGGAAAAATTATTTCATGGTATTACATAAATTTTGCTCAACAATCATGTCTAACATAAGTTATACATAGTATTTTTGCTATAGAGCAATGTTGAACACCATAAATTTGCCACTTCTGTAAGTGGTAGTAAGTGAATGCAGAAATTTACTTTCAGAAAGTACTGGTATTGTGACTTAATACATTTTGTAATCGGTAGAGTGTTGGTAAATCAGAAAAGTTGAATTATTGTGATTTGGTTACGTCAGTGAAGCAACCTGAGTTGATTACTTAAAATGCAGTTTCAGAAGGGCCCAGAATTTTTTCAAAAGACTTCTCATGCATTGTGAACTGGGTAGTTAAGGTGTACATGCTAACTTCCATTAGTTCATTTCTCCAGCATACTTTGACAGTAAACACCAAATATCTTTCAGTGACCTTTAAACATATGAATCAGATAAGATAAAAATTTTTTGACTGATACGATCGGAATAGTATGATCCTGTGAAGGTCTATTGATGGAACCAATTTGTAATGAAAAGAAACAGGAGAATGGAAGTGGCAGTCACTGGTCATCAAAACAACGCTTTATATTCAAACTGACTCAAAATCATAGAGTTTAAAATTGGATTAGTAGCCATTGAAGTTTGCATGGGGGGGGGAATTTCATTTTAACATGGAACAGTTTGTTAATTTTAATTGAAACTGACAAAACCATCAAGACAATTAAAAAGAGTTACATTATCTGACCAGTCATTCAAAAATTATATTGGCTTTTTATTGACAAAAACTTGGTTTTAATTATTTTTCACCCTTGGTCACTTTGGCAAAGAATATTCAATTTATTCAAAGAATATAATCAATCTTAATATAATTAAAAACCTGTTTATGGCCGACTTTTCTCATTTAAAAAATATCAACCACGTAAAAATGGAACACAAAACGTAAGATGTTAAAAAATCATTGGCTACATAAAATTGAGGTTTTGAAAACATCATTGATGTCGCATCCAAATTGGCTGTTGCAAAAGAGGTAATTCAATGTAATGTCACTTGCTTCAATTTAAATAATACTTTTTATAATTTTAATTTGTGATCAGATGAAAAGCATGAACTTTTCTAATCAGGTTCTCTTTAAACTGTACATTTACTTTACATCATGTTACTGTACATGTATATCCGTGGTATTGTAATTTGAATTATTTATACATTTTTTTCTTTAATTTTTGAAGAAACAAGTATGATTGTACATTTTTCTATTATTGATTTACTGTAATTTGAATGCCAGAAGGCAACATTATATATTACTGTATACAATAATACATTGGGTTTTGAATAGAGATTTAAGCATTGATATCAATGAATAAAAAAACAATTATGGGGTTTTCATAACATGCAACAGAAATTAATTTTTTTTACAAAAAATAGATTAATCTCAAGAGGATTAAATGAAAGAATTGTGAAGCCGTACCTCAAAAACGAATCATTTTGCATCCTGTCATCATCCATCTTTCTGTGATTTAGTTAGTAGGTATATGCATTTGATTAGTGAATCAGTCATGGAGTGTGCTGCTGTTTTACCTTAAATATGAGGAATGATCCTAAATTCCATAACATGGATGAAACCTAGTATGTTTTTCCTATGTTAAAGCAGTAAAACTGCTTTATTCTGTGATTATCTGTCACTCTTATTAAATTACTATTTCTTAGGTTTCTGACCAGACATTTTTTAGACAGTCAGTTATTACTACAATAATTAAAAACGCACAATAAGCATCCTTCAAACGTGTTTGAAAAATAGTTAATTAAAAAGATATTTTCTCTTAATTAAGTTTAAACCATATTTATTAAAGTATTATATCAATTTCAAAAGTCTTTCCATCTCTCTCAATGTTTTGAGGTATTTCTGTTTCTCTTCGTCGGGAGTAATTTCATCTAAAAGTAAGATAAACAAATAACCATTCAAATGTTGATCACCTTTAGACAATTAACCTGCATAAATAATGTTAAATTTAAAACTTGTAGTCAAACATTCTTAGACAAATTGAAATTATATCTTTATCAGCTGTAAATGACCTCACCTCATTTTCTTTTTTTTCTTTCATTTTTCAAACTACATTCCTTGCTCTATTTCAGAGTATGTCAAAGAGTTCCCAAGCTAAATTAAATTCTAACTAAACTAAATTAAGAGAAAATATGATGTTTTTAATTAACACTGTTACAAGTACATATTTAAGACATTTAATGTGTGTGTTTTTAATTATTGTAATAATAAGTGTATCTAAAAAATGTCTGGACCTATGAAATACTAATTCAATTTTATTACAAAGTAAATGTTTAGAAGTAATGCCCATAAATTTGCCTGAATTGCCTAAAATGATTTAGCAGATTTTATTCTGTTCTAGGATAAAATCAATATGAATTTCAAAATGATGTGACTTAAAATGTTGACATACTAATATACACTTTTCTTGATTAAGGTTTAGGTCCCTAAGCTTCAAAAATTATTGGAACTTCACATTCTGAAAAGAAAATATAAGATTTGATGTTAAAAATCACTGGCAGCACTAGAGGAGGAAAGTCTGCCCAGAGGTAGTACCCAACCATTCTGATTTTGTTTCTTTAAAAAGAAATGTATTTATAAAATTTTAACTTCATTAAATTGTTGGATATTTTATCAATAATTTTTAATAATTAACTTCTGAATCTATCTTTAAATTGTGGTTTGTTTTTTATAAAATACTAGGCGGTGACAATAATTCTGGCTCAATATCTGGCTATAATATACCCATTTAATAATTAATATTCCAATTCCGAGATATCTATTTATTTTGAAAGCGATAATTTATAACAAAATTAGTGTTATTTATTTCTCAAAAATCCAAGAATGAGTCTACACTTTAAACAGGTTTTGTAATTTTGCAGCTTTTCATTAGAAGTTATATTTTAAAAGAAAATTATTAAAACAAAAATTTAAAAATTATGAAATACACTGTATCGAAGGGGGAGTTGATTAGTAAAAGGAAAGTGACACCATGTGAAACACCTCCACCAACACTTTAAAATAAGAAAAGTTATATCCTTTATTATGAGTTAGATTAGTCTAATGCTTTCTTCTCTATTTAAATTATTAGATTCTGAAATGTATTCTACCTTTTTACCTCTTTATTATAGTGATTCTCAATGGTATTTTTATTTTGAATTTGTTTGAATTTTAAATACATGTTAATTACATAATTTACTTTTCTTAAAAAGAAGCTCAAAAAATTGATAACTTTCATTTCTTATAAAAGCATTTTCTGTAGTTTAAAATATCTGAATCATATAAATTATGTATTTCAGGATTATATAATATATTGACACTAAATTAAAATTTAGTAGGATTCATTCCACATTTGAATGACACAGTTTTAAAAAAAAGTGAATATTTTGAAATTTAATTCCAAAAAGACAATTGAATTAAGATCCTGCAATAAAACTGATACATCTCTCGAGGTTGAAAAGATTTGTTATAGGATTTGTCATTAAATTTTCATGTGTTAATTGATGAGCTGTCTTCAATCAGATATTAGGAGGGAGACATTAATTTAGTACTTGAATTACACACTAAATGCAGTACCTAAAACTTGCCTAAAAAAATACTTTCAATTAGTGTAAACCTTCAGTTTTGGTAATCTTATTACCAAACATAAAATTATTCTGGAAAATTAAGAAAGAATAACATTTGTCTCATTATTACTAGCTTATTAAATGTTCAATCTTTATATTCTAAATCATTACTTCCTCTATGACCCAAACATTTTTTATCATCTTTCTTCACTAAGTGAACTATCATTTCTACTAATAATAACCGAAACTTGCTTGTCCTATATCATTTCAACTTCCATCAATCTTTTAAAAGTTCAATTCTTCTGTAAATAATGTGTATTCATTGAGGAAGTGCACAGGACCCATAAAATATTTTTGACTAGATATATCAAAATTATCTTTTAATACCCATTAAAGAAAGAGTAAATAATCCAATATATATTTTTGGTTTCTAAAACATTAGGTTTATAAAATGTAAATGAATCTGAGTATGGATTTGATAATGAATAAAACAGAAAACCTTCATTGTTTATTTGTACAACTCTTCAGACTAGATCAACATAATTAATCAATTAATAAATTTCTTGTAGTAAGTGCCGGGCATGCCCAGAAAGTTTTTCTAAAGGAGCTACAGGTATAATGGCCAGCTGACTTGGCTTCTAAGGATTTTTTTTATGTCTGCTGAACACACTGAGTATTTTTATTTGTTGACTTACAGTTCATAATTATAATTGACAAATGACTTCAATTCATATGAAAAATTAGTAGGACAGCCTATGGCGTAGTCTGGCTGATATTGCAGCTTCTTGAATTTGAAACTGCTATTTTAATTTGGGGGTGGGGAGTCTATACATGAAACTCTTGAACTTCTTCTTGAATTTGAACAAATATATACATGTGAGCAGCCAACTATGAGCAACGATAAAAAATATCTGGCAACACGATCAAAAGTATATGAAAAGCAATTAATGTTATTTTAATAATAATTTACCATTGAAAATCCCAATGTTCGATTGATTGATTCTTAGTTTTTGAATAATTGATTTTTTAGTGATTCCGGGCACGTCAACTACCAGGGTCATTCGTCCCCTAAGTGTAATGCATGTTTCCACCGGCTGTATGGAGAGATCTAACGCCGACCTACCGTCGGCTAGCGGGGTTTTCTATAATCAGGGATCTCCCGTCAGCGGTGCACCGCCCAGCCGGGACAAGCTCTAAGCCCCCGACCGACCTCCCGGCGTGTGTGGCAGTGCATGCGTGCTAACGGACGTAAGGGGTGAGGATGGAACTAGGAAGAGGTAGGGACGATCTCGCGCGGTTCGTGGCCCGTTTGTTAGGGTTCTGCTCCGGCATTCGCCTGGGGTTGATCGGAGCCAGCTGCTAGATTTGTCCTCCAGGCAGCGACTGAACTCGACCTGTGACGAGAATCCTGCCACCGTCGGGACTCGAAACAAAGACCTCCCGGTCAGAGACACTGCAGAAACATCAGTTGAGCCATCTCTCCCGGTTTGACGCGTCCAGAAACATAAAACATTAAATCAACGAACCAAATCTGCCTCCTCTTCTCCATTTCAAGATTTAATCAAGGAATAAGCTAATACTGTTAAATCATATGTAGCTGTAACCATAATTGTTATCATGTACTGTTAGTATTACTATTATTATTATTATTATTATTATTATTATTATTATTATTATTATTATTATTATTATTATTATAAGTAAAATCACTACATCAAGAAAATGATATTTTGAAAAATGAAACGGTATAAATATAGTATCGTGACAGATCGCGAGGAACACAACAAAGCCGTCTCCCTTCACACACAACTATCAACCACATTCTAATTTTATTCTTAGTTAAAGATACATACGATCATAATGATATAGCTAGGAATATATTCATAGCTTCAAGCATATGATGGAATGGCAGTAGCGTCGCCAACTTTGAAACAGTAGAGTTTCCCCCTCTCCGCCAAAGTGTCAAAGTTTTCGCGGGAAAAAATGTTTGCTGGTAGGAAAAAAACTTTTGCAGGTTCACAACAGAGAGTTTACATAGTAAGTATATTGCCGGGTCGTAACAAACAAAGCGAGAAAGTATGTGTTGTTGTAACATCACTAGTTTTAGAAAATATCTCAAAAATCGGTCAATATTGCAAATGTTAACTTTTTGCCATTCTAGGAATTACAGTGTGTTCGCCGGAAATGGGCTTAACACACATTGTTTTGTCGTTCTTTGATACATACGAGGAGAACATTTAAAGGAAAAATTTAGAGTAGGAGAATGATCTGGGATTTATTTAAAGACGGTCAGTTTGTTTATTATATAGACAGTCTAGGAAACCTACCGACAAATTTGGAGATCTTTTAAAGAAAATAATTGTTTAAACATTTCCTACATTTCACGAATTACGCAAAAATTACTAATTTTCGAAAAATTGTACATAACGTTCTTTCAAGATATCTTTGAACACATTTTATTAAGGAAAAAAATCTCTATCTTCAATATTGTTGTCGGAAGATGCAGAAAAAAATTGAAATTTTTGAGAATTAAAAAAAAATTACAAAATGTTGAAAATGTTTTTGAGGCTGTATGTAAAGTACCCCACAAAATCAAAATATCAGTTTAAAACTCGCAGAGCCTCGAGCTTTATTCTAAGCGATCAGGGAATAGGAAATCGTTTGATCGGTTTACGCGCTCTGTTGACCACAGTCTGACGGATGAACGGACACAGACAGTCGATTTTTTGGTATAAAAATCATGGGATGTGACTACACAACGTGTTAGAGGAAGTAATTTACAACATATAGGAATAACAAAATGAAGAAAGAGCGAAATACAACGGCTTGGTGATAATCACGGTTCAATTACTATGACACCTTGAAACATGGCGGCCGTATTTCACGAATATCACGATACAAGCGCTGAAATAAAGCCTTTTGCCACTTGTATCCACAAAACAATAAAGAACATCTTGTATCTCCAACCTCGGCCGACTCTATAGTGCTGGTCAGCTAAAAAGATCAGCTAACGTGACTACTTTTGAAAAATGTTAATACGTGGCCTGAACTATACAGTGGAGTCGGCCGTGCTCTAGCTCGTTTTATTCGGACCTCATTATACCTGTGTAACATTAGCAACTTTTCATTGACGAAATTTTACTGTTATAGCATATTCCTTTGAGCCTGAAGTTAGCTGTTACATAGCTTATTCCTCAGAACGTCGCAATAAAGTATGTAAAGAAGAAGTAAAACTTCAAATTGTATGTTTATTTTATTTCTAAATATTTAAGTGAGTCGGTATGTCAAGAAAACTTGTGGCCAAACTATCTTCTGATGTATGATTTCAGTAATCAATCAATGCCTACTGGATTCAACTGAGCAGTTAACTGTTTAAACAATAGTCAATGATTTTATTCTTTGCCACAGAACTTCCTATCCAGGTATCGTGACAAATTTTTCGTAAGGGAAGAAGTGTTTGGGTTCACTTTTCCTGCAAAATGTCATCAATATTCTGATTTCCCAAATTATATTGAACGTAATAAATTTCTCGTTGTGTTGTATTGTATTGCACTATATAAATCATTAATGATGTGCCTGAATATTAAAACTAGTAGTAATGTTGCGATATGGTTGATCTCTTTGCTTTGAACTTTACTTCCAGATCCGTTAATTTGTAACATACTGCAATGAGTATCCCACCGGGTGACGCGGAGAAAGGCAAAAAGGTAACTATTCATGCATTGAAATTGGATTATTTCTTTGATATGTATTGAATTTTAATTATTTTTGCAGCTTTTCGTTCAAAGATGTGCTCAATGCCATACCGTAGAGGCTGGCGGTAAAAACAAAACCGGCCCTAATCTCAGTGGAATGTACGGTCGCAAGACCGGCCAAGCGCCTGGTTTCACTTACACAGATGCTAATAAGAATAAAGGTAAATTGTTTTTAATTTCTGTTATTCTTAATTAAGAGTATTACACATTCTTCTTGAGAATATGGTGTACTTTTAGATTGCAAGGAAAGCAATCACGTAAAAACGCAGTTTATCAGGTCAGCTTTTACTACGAGTACTTTCCTTTTTTACGTTAAATAACCAGATTTTTTATCAGTATCCAGTATGTCTTTAACCTTCCAGCATTTAATATTAATTGGTATTTTTCTTTAGGTATTACGTGGAATGATGAAACGTTGTTTGAATACCTCGAAAATCCAAAGAAGTATATTCCTGGAACCAAGATGGTCTTCGCCGGTTTGAAGAAACCACAAGACAGAGCTGATTTGATTGCGTACTTAAAAGAGGCGGCAAAATAATTTTTGTTTGGAAATCGAAATTATAAAGAACAATAATCTAATAATAATGAAAGTAAAGTTAAATACTTGCAAGATGTGTAGAGTGAATAATGAAACACGGAAAGTGTTAGGAACAATGAAAGTTTACCCTGACACGACCTGAAAAGATAGTAAAAAGTGTTATTCACATTTGTTTAGTTTTACTTATGAAATTCAGTTGTGGCCAAAGAAAGGTTGCTCTAAGTTTATTGGTAGTAGAACAAAAGTAGTTATGTTTTTACTTCAAACCTGAAAATCAAGATAGCTTACATTAGTTCATCATGAGTATTTATAATAGTAAAAAAATGTTTCACTGAAAGATGACTGGTTATTACCCCCAAAATATTTTGGTTTAAAACAAACTCAATTTCAAATGACGCCTAGACAGTAAGCACAATGTTTGTAGGTTAAAGTTTACGTACCACATTCACAATAACCTGCTCTGAAATGTTGGGTGTTGCCTACGTTCCACTTTACGTTTGGGGCTCAAGAAGCTTATTCACTGGCCCACACTGGTAAGGTGTTAAGAGGTGTAGGTATCGGAGTAGACACTACTGTTACAAATATCAGTAATCCTGGAAATAATGTTTATGAGGCAATTTGCCCATTGTAACTTATTTAGTATTAGAGATTATTTATCGGTGTAATTGCCACCTTCATCCGAACTTGTTAAATATCGGTACTACTTAACATCTGTCACTGTCAGTACTGCTTGTTGCAGCACCCCATAACCAATTTAGTGCTGGATTTCATTGACATGAAACATGTTTAGCCAGGTAAAGAAATAGGCACAATATCCAGCTTGTTTGGCGGATGGTACGAACAAGGGGCCTGTGGCAGTTGATCCACGGGAGCCCCCTAATTTCAAACAAAAAAATTCTCCCCTTCTTAATAAACATAATTTCTGCATGCTTCAGAAATAACTTTTTGCGTTAAATTTGGATTAGAGATGAATACTTTTTTTAATATTTTGAAAAAAATCGGTTGCCCCCACTTTTTCTTCTGAGACGTTGATACTCGTATGCATCCCCCCCATTGTCTTCAAGTTGTTATAGCTAGACATTCTCCCCGACAATAAATACAATTTTTTAAAATATTTAGGAAATCGATTGTAAAAAACATTAATGAGGGAGCCTCTTCAACCCGAATAGCAGTGGGAACCGAAATTCGTTACGTTGGCACTTTTCCCATTCCATGAGAGGGTACGCGGATCCAAATCTTCCATATGCCTGTATGTAATTTTATTATAAAGTAGCACCTAACATAATCCCTAAGGTCTTGATAATATTTACTTCGAACCATTTTCGAAATCAAAAGGCATAGATGTATCTAATGGAATAGTGTCTCTTTAAGTCACATTTGTGAACGAGGGGCATCCAGAACCTAAACAAATGGAAAAGAAACAAATATTGTAAATAAACGAGATAAACACAAACCTCGGCAACCGTATAATACAATCAAAAACTTGTAAATGCTCTAGAAAACGCCTACGCACACACCATAGCTTGCAACCGAACACTTTCCCACCATTCTGGACATCTCTATGGCAAGAAGTAACGGTCAAAGCGCTTGTGCGCCCTTTTGCATAAGATTCAGTGTTATTTTACGACGCGCGTCAACGCAACGTTCGTGTGGAGTGGCACTCAACCACAAGGGACGTTTTTAACAAAATTCTTTTATTTGTTGGGATATTTATTAACCATATTCATCTACACAGGTATGACAAATAATGGATTCTGTCCATAGTGTATCCTCTGCCTAGTCTGGCCTGCGCTGCTTTACGCCGAACTGCTCAAACCCACCCTGGCACGTCCTCGCGCAGTGCCGCGAATATATATATATAGACACACAGCCGACTCCGGTTATCGGGAACTTTAGTCACTGGTCTCGTTTCACTTACATTGCAAATAAGTCTAAGCCGACTGTTATAGTGAACCTGAACCTCGGCTACCTGAAAAATAATATATGGCCTCAGTGCCACAACTTCCAACACAATGCAGCTTGAAACATGTCCCCTGGAGTAAAGGTAGGAGACGGGGAATGGCCACCATACTGCTGACCTTAGCCCCTCGGTTCACTGCGGAAACGAAGGCCGTGTCCTATAACTGGCGGCGGCGCTGCGCGATTGCTTAAGTTACAGTCTTGGTGTCACTTCGTATTCCGCAGGTCAAAGCGCGTAGTTCCTCGTGGGCGACAGGGAGCGCGCTCCAGCCGCAGCTCCTCGGCCTGGCGACACGGCACGGCACGGCACGGCCGCGCGGGAAGCGAACAGGTCATTCGCCGCTTGCGCCGTCGCGCTCCCGAAAGCAGCTCGCGTGCTATTAGGCGATTGGAAGGGCCTTCTTTCAATAGGGCAAGAAGTGTTGAACGGGTGAAGACTGCATTACGATTCTTAGAGGCAAAAGAAAATGCAGAATCAAGTACGGAGAGCGCACGAAATCTGGAGAAGGATCTAGAGGAGTTGCTAATGAAAAAGTGCGAAGCAAACAATTGGAACAATTAGAACTGGAATTGATTTTTAAGGGACAATAAAGATATTGAATTTTTAGTTTGTATTGTTAACGTATTTTGCAGTTTCTCTTTATTAACAAAATCGATCATTATGGAGAAATTTTATTTAATTTTGACATCAGATATAGTGAAACAAAAATGTTAGTCTCCAGAAGTTCACTATCACCAGAGTCAACTGTATATGTAGGATATTTCAGATCATTTCTTAATGCATGATTTCCAACAAAATTCAATACACAAAGAAACAATTTCAGAATAAATTCTTCAGACAAAATATATAAATTTATTTACATTATGTATTACAATATTTGAAGCTGGTTTGCACAGCTTCCCAGTTTCAGCCTTCACAAAATGCTAACAAACTTACAAATTTAACAAGATGCATATAAATCAAGTTTATCACATTTTCATTTCAGAATAAATGATCAATGAAAATTATACAATGAACAGTTCATATCACGCTGGCCTATCACAACATTGAATTTGCCCTTTCCATCTGGCATAAAAAAAAAAAAAAAAAAAAACTTTCCGTAAAGTTCCACACTACAATTTGCAACACTCATCCCATACACACACCCGCCCTATTGCAGGTTACTGTAAGACAACCTGAAGTGATTCCCAAGCATGAAGCGCAAATTACAAAGACTGGAGAGGACTGGTTAGAGCAATGGTTGTGAGTAAATGATGTCAATAATGATACCGAAGTTCACTAATAACCTTTCCCTGAAGTAAATATTTAATCAGACTTGAGCCCTCACAGTAACAAAAGTTGTCTTAATTTTTAACATTTATGTTATAATGATCTTTTAACGTCTGAATTATAGCGATCTATGATTATCAACATTAATAGGCAATTGCATTTTCATTTTTTACCTACTTCTAGCTTAAGGTTTATATTCACCGCTGCCAGTTGCATTGATAGAAAACGATATATGTATGGAATGTCCATCTCTGACACACTGCTCTTGCTCTTACACAGCCGGCACTCCACTTTGGTAACACGATGATTTCCCTTGTGTATTACATACATCAAAGGGCTGATAATATTTCCACAGTTCTGGCAAACTAAGGTCTGAAAAGAGCCACAAAAGTTATTATGAAAGCACCTTTCAAATACACTTCACAACAAAACAAATTTAAAAAAAAGAAAAAAGAATACTGATAAAATTTATGGAATAAAAACACAAAGAATTAAGACAAAGATATGAATCACTACACAATACGCGGGGAAGTACCCATTGCTTGAGAATCCTCATGCCGATAATACAAGAGACAATTCAGTCCTGTCTCAGCAATCTATTCTGATAGATTGCTCTTGCGAGAGAGAGGAGAGAGAGAGAGCACTTACGCATTTGTGTGTGAATGCATGAATGTATGCGAGTGTGTGGGTATGAGTGTCTGTGTGTTTTGTAACAGATTGCCATGTTCTATGCTCAGATCAAAACAGAGGATAAATTCAGAGAGGTCAGCTGGGGCATTGTAATCCAAATGAAAGCTTTGTTACAAGTTAATTTTTGATATTGAGGCTCCTAATTGGATAACTACATTCCAGTTGATCAAAATGCATTTTGCATTACATTTTAATCAGAGTATTATTTTTGCCATTTCAAAAGTACAAAAAGAGATGGAGTTCTGAGAATGTCTAATGAAGTTCACGCATCCATTGAAGGAAGGGGTTAATTTAACAACACTGTAGGTTTTCAAGACAAGGTCATTTAAACAATCATTTGAGAACTTACAATTAAATTAAGGACTGTGAAACTAACTCACATTCTTCAGGGGACTGATGGAAAAAAGTGTAAAATCTAGGAATGTAAAATCCACAATAGCCTAAAAGATTATTAACACAATTTATTCCTGGGCTGTGCTCACACAATTAAACTTCACACTATTTTAAATAATTTAAAGAAATATATATAACAGGTATCTTATGCCTTTCTGTAATGTATTTCAAATATGTGTAGAATTAAACGGGACACAGTACTGAAAGCACTTACTTTTAGTATTTAAAAAATCTCCTGTGATGACAACAATCCTGGCGGATACAGTCAACGCTCTCTCACACACACACAACGCACACCTCTGACCACCTCTATGTTCTTGCCAGAATTGTCATTTCCCTCCAAAACGTACACTATTACTACTTGCACTTAACTCTAAACTAACTTAAATATATCTTAAAGCTACTATTAACAGGAACTTTCACATCACTAGACCCTCTCACTGCCATTCCCACATCTATGTACCTATTTTCGTTTTTTTTAACATCACACAACTCTGTTTTGAAATAAGTTCAATGGTTGTTCAGTTTTTCAAGACAGTGTTCAACGGGAAGACAATGTAAACATTTCATTACAAACTGAAGCAAAAGTACTAGCAATGCTAAGTCTGGCAACTGCTACGCTTGATAACTTTGAAAAGAAATCAATTTCAAAATCAAGTTTTGTCAGCCAAGAAACAAAAACACAGTATTGTTCATAAGAAGTTGTTAATGACCAAAGGAAATGTATTGTAAATATTGGGTCAGTGTACAATGGTAACATATTAATCGGAGTATAAAACATGTTCTACAAGACTTGGAACACAAGGCTTGAATTTCTTACTTGTTTTCAAAGATAATCAGTATCTGTTGGCTGAAAAAATATTCAACTTTTGTTGAATTTATTCATTAAATAATTAAACACAAAATTAATATTTATATTTTTACAAAGTTGTAATTACTAGCTGTAGTGACATTTAGATGAAGACAGAAATCTAGTATTTTGAGACAGACAACTGCCAATGAGGTCTCCTAGCACACACCGCTGATCTGTGGTGCTTTCTATGTATCGTTTTGGTTCAGATTTCCAAAACGCATGATTTTTTAAAATAAAAAAATCCCTTTTAAATCAATGATTCCAAATTTTTAAATCTTAATAATTCTCACAGTTTTGACTTTTATCTTAATATTTTGGCTGTTTCCTGTTAAACATCATGGCATAAAAACGATGTTTCTTACATCCCGGAGCCACAGAGAAAGATGGTAAAAACTATACTAAAGACACCATCCACTGAGATTGAACAAAAAAGTGTGAAATGAGTGAAAGAAAAAGCCTGAGGGCATTCATGAACCGTAGCTCGCTTGCATGCATACTAGCAGGTTGTTCATACAAACAAGAAATGTGAAAAGTACAAGTTGAATATTTTCCAATAACATGTTTTCCTGTTTAGGTTGTTCAAAATTTTCGGCTCCTTGTCAAACATACTAAAGATTTCACTGTATACTTTTCCCATTTAAATAATGGGAATTAAGGTATCTACATAGATTATTTGTTTTGATTAGTTACATTCTGAGACTTCTAAACATTCACAGAAGTTTGGAAAGAATGATTAGATAAATACTTACTGTGCACCGGTCTGAGCAGTGGAACAAGCGGTCTTGCAAGAGGAAAGCAGCTCCATGGGAAAGCAAGGAGTCCCGCTCCATTTCACCAAACCTGACTCCTCCGCCTCGCTTTCGGCCCTTAATAGGCTGGTGAGTCACAACGTCAATCGCACCCGTGCTTCGCACCTAGAAAATACCCACATTAAGCAAACAAAACCATCTTATCTGATCAGTTTTCTTACCTTTCCTCACTTTTCAAAACTGCTTTCTAATTTGATCAGAAGCAGATTGTGCGAGCTGTAGCACGTTTCCACATTAAAAAACTTTTTTATCCCTTGTAAATATATTTAGTTAATATTCATGTTCCTCTTGTATGATTGCTCTCGTGAGCCAAAACCTCATCAATTTGTTTACACTAGCTGCAAAGTGGGTATGAGAGAATGATTCATACTCTTATTGCATTCTGGGTGATCGTCTAGGATTCTACCCAGGAGTAACTATGGTAAAGCAGAAGGCTTAGTTAACACCTCAAAGACCTAGTGAGAGGATCAGGGCTGTAAGACGGAGCACAAAAACATTCTTCAGATACATTCATGCATGTGGTGTGTTTTTCAGACCACTGACAAGTTCACAGAGAAAGAGTAGCGTTGGTAAACTTCTCAAGAAAGCTGCAAACTAGGAGCAAGGAATGCATTTGTACTTCATACAGAGACATCAAATTACATTATACAAACATTCAAGTGTCTATTTGCAATAAAAAAGAAAACTTCAATATAGTTCATTCAAATTCAAGAAAAACGAACATTTTATGCTCTTCGCAAAAGAGTGAACACCGCCCATTCCTTTAAATTGTTAGTGACTTCTTAGTTGCTTTCAAGTATACATAGAATTGACTGTGCCAACTAGACCACCTGAATACATTTGTGAACCAGCAATTTTTAAAGACACGGAATTTGAAAGAGTTGTATGAAAATGAGAGTAATTTTTATAATAACTTTGAATAATACAATTTTTTTCATTCTTGAAAACAGAAGCTATTGTTGACACTAAAAAAGACCAATCAAACAAGGTAAGCTCTCCTAAATAATTGTATGATTCTAGTCAAATCCCTTCAACGCTCTCCCAAAGATCACACATTGTTTCACAATACTCCAGAAATCTCTCCCTTCCATCAAAAAAGGCACATCCTTGCATATGGATTATTTCCAAACCTTGGATTATACTGTAATTTATTCTTAACTTCACATCATCGTTCAATGCACAGTGGTAAGAAACAAATTAAGAAGGAGCTAATATTAAAAAATGAAACAATTCTTTGAAATAAAAAATTGGCATAGAAACCATTATGCCAATTGCTATATGGAAATGATAAAACTTACCTGCCACTTGTCTGCCACCATGTGTCGTAACCGTTGGTAATGAACAATACCAAAAAAAATTTCTGCATTCATTTCACATCCACTGACTCCACTGTACATCTTCTCTGTGCCGAAGTAGTTGAAACCACCTACACAAAAATTGTCTTTCAAACTTTGAAGTAAGTTTAAAATAAATAACATAAACTCATCCTATTTATTACCTTCTTCCAGAAGTTGTCCAAAGTAGTCAATGGCTGTTTGATCTTCATTAAAACGGAAAGGTGTAGCATCGTGCACCATCCCATGCACTGCTCCCGATTTCCCTGCCATTACTTCTATCATCATAGCTAAAAAATGATTTAAAAATAAAAATTATCAGATTAAAAAGAAAAGGAGAGGTGCTACAACTGCACATATAATTTCATATTATTGGGAGCAGCTACAAAATATTATAATATAACATTTTTAATTTACTTAAACTTTTTATAGATCCAATGCTTTCTATTTTGTTTACATTTTATTTCCATGTTTTCAGTTTTGGAGATGCCAACTTCCCATATCAATTATGATTAACCGCTGCGCTCTTTCTTGCACTGAAATGAAGTTGTTTGCACTCACCTATTGTCATTCTTGAGGGAAAACCGTGAGGATTGAAAACAATATCAGGCACAAGTCCACTTTCCGTGAATGGTAAATCCTCCGAAGGCCACAGCATACTGCAGATTCCTTTCTGTCCAGCCCTGCTGGCAAACTTATCTCCGATATTGGGATTGCGCTAGATAAGGAGGGATAACAAATTTTAAAGTAAAAAACCTGTAAATATATTTCAAAAATTGTTTGAAACATCTTTGCTAACTGCTTGCTTGTATCTTTAATTCCTGTTTACTAATCTCGTTTAATGCTTGTTAAATTAATTTTATTTTAACTCCCTTTAAGGATCTATTGTGATTTATGAAAAACGATTAAATTTTCAGTTTTCTCATTTTTTTTATCAGTTATTATACTCTGATTTACTTCCTTTTAAATTCAGCTTTTGTTTTTGAAGTAATTTCATTTTTCTTTAACCTTGTATAAGGCTATGGCTCTTTGTGGAAAATATTTAAATGGCCTTTCCAACAATTGACATTTTTAGTAGCAATATTGCAGCCAAATCTATCATTAAAACTATTTGAGATAATTTAGTGATTCTCTTGGCAAATTGTTGTTTATTGTTTATCCTAGAGACTGGACCTAAGTCGTTAAAGTACCACTTTAACTCTTTCCAGCAGACAACATAGATCTCTTTTGAAATGTTTAAAAAACTATTTTTAAATAATAAACTGCCTTAAAAATAAAGCAATTATTTCAAAATTTACTGAGTTAGGTTCATTCTCTAGAACAAAATATTTTTATTATTTAGCAAAAAAGATTTAATTACTTTAAATATTTTCTTAAATATTGTGTTTCCTGTTAAGACAAACTTTTTCTATGATTATTTTTTTTTTAATTTCATTTTAATTGCACATAAAACAAACAAAAAGAATTATAATACTAATAATAATAATTTAATTGAAAATACATCACAAATACGTTTCTAAAAATTTCTTACCCAGGTATGTCATAAGGATAAAAGTGTAAGAATATATATTTTATACTCTTTATTTGTCTGAGATGTAATATTGCAAAATCTTAACAGTAGCTACTTAAAATTGGTTGATAATGACGGGGACTTTGGACATATCTTAATTTTTTCAAAAGGAAAAAAATTGTTAGATTTTAAGCCCCATCAATTGACTGTTAATCTGTTGGTTAACTCACTACACTCAATTTATCCTCATAAATTAGCATGAGAAAACACAATAAACAATTATTTACTGAAGCTTAATTCAAAGATTTGTGGCTGCCAAAGTCCCTTCTGGCAGCCACAATCATGCAAGAGTAATCTAAGAATTATCCATAAAAATTCATAAAAATCACAAAAAGAAAGGAAATAACTGTTGAAAGAGTTTTTTTACGTATAAAATATATTAGTAAAAATGTGTACAATTTAGCATGTATTTGAAAAATTATATGTAGCAAACAAACTTCTTTCACAAAAATGTCACTGCAACGAATTCAGGGAAAAACTATCTATAAAAAGTCATACTTAACCCGGGACTGCATATAAAAGATCTGTGAAATCTAAGCCACAAGAATTTTAAATTCTTGAATTATTGTGAAGCATAAGTCATCTGATATTTCATGTATACCTTCATTGTACTTTTCTAACAAACCTCTGCCTTCAATTTTTATCCTTTTGCTGAATCATTGCCCATGAGTATGTTGAAACTTGATCACTGCACTGTGTGATCCCTGTCAGATACATTGCATGCACAGAGCATTGTGAGCTCCTGCTTAAGCAGTACCTATCATGGCATTATTTTCAGCAGTGTCTATGACAAGCACCTATTCAAAAATTGTAATAATTAATCTTATCAGGATCGACTGTCACAAATTCTTCCTAAAGACACAGATGTGCAGGAGCCCTCTGTAGGGAAATTTAAAAAATGCGAAACTTGCAATATGGAAAAAAGATTATGCTTTTTAAATATTTTTGAGAAAAATGTACAATATATATTTGTTTAAAATTGCAAAATTATTTGTGGAAATTGTTTTAATTGTAATTGTATTTAATTTTATTTAAAAGGTAATAACATGTTAAATGATTTTTGCATGTGCTTTATCGATTTTTACCTTTCTCACCATAAGTATTCAGACAAGGTTTCTGCAGGGTAAGAATTGCATTGAGGGACACGAACAAACTAAATAAAATGCATATGTCAGTAAATAGAGCTTCAGATTAACAATTCCACACCCAAATTCAAAATGATCATGAGGAATGACTTTCAGGTGTTTCAAAGTCCCCTATTTTTCTCTCTCACCAAATTCAGCACTCGAGAATTGCTAAGGGAGGCAATAAATTTAGATCTCACTAGACCATTCATGAAGACTGTAAAACAATAAACCAGGATTATGCATTTATGATATGAAGAAATTTTAAATGTATCTTAGATGACGTGGCATGTTTTCATCCCACGAATTTGGTGGAAAAATGGGATATCAGCCGAAGAAGTTCAAACGAATCATTTATGAAGCCATCATACTCTTGATGTTGTCTCTAGAAATCTCCTTCCAAAAAAGATACCCATATCAATCATTTCTTTTAAAAATGATAGAGAAGGGCTTGGGAGTAAAGGATGTAAGCCTCAAAGTTATAAATTTCATGATATTCATACACTTCCATCTGCTTCTCATGCATTGTGATTCTCAAATAGTCCAAATAATGGCGCATAGTTGTCTCCCAGCTCTTGTCATCTTTATATATCACGTTAAAACCCCTTCCAGCAAAACTGTTCACTTGCTTATATCTCACAAACGTTTCAACATGGGTTACTGTGTTTTACATCCAAACCCTTAAAATATTGGTTTTGTGACAATCCAGATATCCCCATTCAGCATCAAAAAGTTGATGAAGTGAATGGCTCCCACCTCTGATGCAACATACATCATAGCAAAGTAATTCCCAACAATTCGTTAATTGAGAGAACAATCGTTTTTCCTTCTTCACCAAAGCATCTCCAATCTGCACACCCAAAATTAATCTACAATGAAACTATAAACATACTGACCGGAATCCTCACTAACAAGCAAACACCTGTCCGTTTATCTCTGCCCAATGAATCACAAATGCGAACAGCATCAATGTAGGCCACTTCTGAACTCTTCCAGCAGCTCACAACATACTGCCCATTACTTTCATCATAGTAACTGTAGGGGAAAAAAATCAAAAATTTAAAACTGAAATAAAAAAGCAAACTTTATAAAAAAGAAAGCGAATTTCTTCAGAAGTTTAAACACTGAGTTAATTTTGCAGTGGTTTTTAAGAAAGTGTTTGTTGGATAAACTGTGAAAGTCAATTGAACATTAGGAACTTTAATTACCTGCACAGAGGCTGCTCGTTAGTCAAACGAGTTCCAACATGAGGCAACCCATCTGCATCCAAGTGCCTACGAATCTCAGAGTTCACCTCCAATTGGGGATTCAATCCAAAGTAAGAGCCTTTCTGAGAGAACAATCCACGCACATCGTAAAACTTCACTCTTAAACATACTTCATTACAGAAACATTCACTTAAATGAGAATTTTTAAAACTACACTATCTATGGTCAACACATGGATGCCAAAATCATACATATTAATACAAGAACTAATTTAATTTTTTACATTTGAACATTTTTAGTGAAAGTCCTTTATCACAAATAACCTGTAAATAAAGGTGGTTAAAGCTTACTTTTTTTTTTCTTTTCTGAATACTTATTCAAATGTTAACATTTTCTAAAATAAGGAATATGGCTAGTCAAGAAAATTTAACATTAAGTGCTAAATATCAGCATTAAACATTTAATCTTCCACTTTGATCCTGCTCAGTGAGGCCCAGGGAGGGGGGGGGGAGGGGGAGGGGATCTACCATTGTTTGTTTATGCTCATTGAAAGCAATCAAATAAATTTTAAACTTTGGTGAAGATACTGGAACTCTATGCAAGTGAGAGAAAATAATAAAGACACTCAAAATGCAGTTTGAAATTGCAATTCATTTATTGTTCAGCAAAAACGTGTAATTCAGTAAAGAGTGAAGAAAATAGCTAGCGTGAAGATAAAATGGAGATCTGTGAAACTAAAGGAATGAGGATTACTTGATGGAACCTGGTCAACATGAATAAAGTATACGTGTTGTGGTGCGTTATCATTGGCATTTCTAATGAAATAATTATATGCGTCGTTATTGCCTACAATATTGTTGGCAATGACGACACATATAATTATTTCAACATGAATAAACTAATATTTATTGTTTAGGGCTCTCTGACTGATCCCTAAACTCAACAATTTATTTAACTCGGGTCATATGGAGGTGAAAGAATGGGATCTGTACACATTCACTCCTGATACAAACACTATGTAGTAACTTACTACTTTTACCTACCACTAGTTAATTTGAAATGAAAATTAATATGAAAAAGTCAGTTGACATATAACAAGCAAAATAAAATGTGTAAATAGTGATTGTGACTACCAAGCAGCAGTAAGTAACCAAAAATTCTATTAGATAAGTATCTTACCGCAGTAAGTAACCAAAAATTCTATTTGATAAGTATCTTACCGTGGGTAATGGTACAATATGAGATTTGTACACTGAACCATGTGCGAACCCTCGCTGGAAAGAACCTTTGTTGATAACCATTGCATCCTCCATATCATAACCCTTAAAAAAAAGGGGGGGGTGGAATTAATGCTGACCACAAATACATCAGCTCTACTCTAAAAAATAGTTATGTGATTTACAATCAATATTTCAGTACCCAAGTAACCAAAAATTATAATTACATTTCTGACCTATATTCAGACTACATGTTAATTAGACATATCAGTAAGTGAACTATTTCCAATTACAATAGCAATCAAATACTAACAATTGCATTCAACTGGCATACAATTCTGAATTGAACGTGTTTCTCACCAAGAAGACCTACTTTTTTACAAAATTAGAAGATATTTGAATACAGTGAAATAAATTATTCAATCAACATGAGTCAGATGTAAATATTTCAAGTATTGTCAACACAAGTTCTGTAAAGGCTGAAATAAAGCTTATTTTATTATATTATTATTAATATCACTTCCATCAACTATTTCACAAGCAGAAGAATGCAACATAAATAATAGTTAGATCATTCAAAAACTAGTTTACATTCAAGTACAAAAACCAATCATTTACATCACGCATCACAAAATGAAACGAAGTGTTCAATCTCTTTTAATCAGTACACAAGTACTGCACATTCAACAGTTACCTATGAATACAGTTTATTAGAATCATCTGCATATGAGTCTCTCACTAAACAATATAATCTTTGAAATTATTTATCAAGAGTATTACCCTCCAAATTTACATTACAACAATTTTAGTACGATGAAATGAAATCTTCAGAAAAAAGTATGCCATTTTACAACAAAAAAGACTACTACAGATGTTTTAAAAAATGTACTGTAAAATAGCAGTATAATAAAATATAAGGGAATTAAAACAATAATGTATCTAAAATGATAAGGGAACTAGGTGAAATGTATATGTTACAATGATTTTTCATTAAATTTTCAGAAAATTAATACTATGAAAAACTAGAATTATTCTAGTTTTTCAATTTGTTAATTGTAGTGGTATACAATGTCCTTGACTCAATTTTCATAAATCAACACCATTAAAAAATGTTCAATATGATTGAGACTGAAATTGTCCCAGAGCATATCTTCTTACATAAAACACACATACACAGTTTGAATTAAAAAGGCTACTAAAAGCATGATACGCTTTATAAAAATATATTTATTTTAAAATAATTATAATTGTTGAAAATAAAGTTAAAAACTTAAGCAAAGGTGATATTTGAATTCATAATACAGACAGTTTGAATTTTCGTAACAGTGAATTTATTTTATACATAATCCATTTGGAAATAAGTGGGAACCGGAAAATAATTTTGTAAAATTGAGATTTCCTTTGTTCCTATTCTCGTTATAACAATTTCATTGTATGTAATTGTCAAGCACTTACACAAAAAACCTAAACAACTTTTTCTACAATACTCAAGAAAAGTGATTTTATTACACGAATTCAATTCCAATCAAAATATGATACCATTATAAAAGGGCTGAGAAATTAAAAATAATGCAATGAGAACATGGCATCTTACTGTGTATGAGATGACAGCTACAACAGCATTTGTCCCCATGCCAAAATTATCTAAATTAATGTAGTCATGATGGGCTGGTCTAAAGAGTGGTGCGGTGGGTGTCTGCAGCCTGTACATCTTGGACTCTGTTTGTTTCTGAAGAACATGAGAAGCGGTACCCATGGTTTGTTTACCCATCTGAAAATCATAAACAAAATCAAGTCAACGAAATTAAATAAAAAAGTGATTAGGTCGTCAACTTCATTTTTTCTTTATTTTTTCAATTATGTAACTCACCACAATCACTAATCAATTCATTTAAAACTCAGCAAAGTGGGAAAACGACCGCTGAATTTTGCAATTTCACTTGACACACACACATTTATACTTTTATATTTGTTTTTGTATTAGACATTTGTACTTTCCCTCTGAAGATAGCTAACTTCTAGATTTTTAACATCTTAAAAAAATTGTGAAATTTAGCCATTATAAAATCTATTATATTAGAAAAACAAAGCTCCAACTGGTATATATTCCAAATTGATGGGAAGGAGGACCCATTAGCAGTGGAAAAGAGCAGAGAGCCATTGGCTTGGACACTTTGAAGAGTTGCTGAGAGAGGAGAGTGAGAGGACAGAGAGGGGGAGGGAGAAGGAGAGTGAAGGGAAGATGAGAAGGGGGAAGGGAAGAGGGTGGGAAGAGAGAGGAGGAAGGGAGGAAAACAGGAGAGAGAGGGTAATCAAAGGCAGTGATGGAATGAGTTCAGTTTCACAAAGAAGCTGTTTTTTGGATATCCAAAACATTTTAGCAGAAACCCAACTTTTCCACGCACAAGCTACCGCAGAGCAGAAGTGGCATGGATCTCATCTTGAACCATTTTCACTGATAGAACAAAAGACTGACTTCACCTGTTCTTCCGATTCTTCTCCTGCTTTCGCAAGAATAGAATGATTGTGTATATCAGGAAGATCAGCATAGGATAGGAGATTGGGCAAAATCACTTCTACTTGTTATCACACAGTGAAAATTATAAATTCCTAGAGTAGATTACTCTATTTCTGATTGCCAGTTTTTCGAACACATCCATTTGTATTAACATGAACGCAATAAAGACGTTCCAATAGCAGCCAATTTACACAGGTTTTTGTGGATCCGGATTCTTGGAGAAAAATAATTTACATCTTTATAAAAACCTCATGAAATGTGTCACGTTTAGGAAACAAATAATGAAGCACTTACATTATGTGACTTTATTTCACAGCAAATAAAATTTCCATTCACTAAAATAATATCTGGGTTCCTAAATGAAATAAATATTAGGTGCAGGATGTAGTTCCACTCTAAAATATAGTCTGGGGGAAATTATGCATACCTATAAAAGGATGACTCAGATGAACGGTGTGTTTTTAGATTTTAGGGGGAGAGAAAGAAGAATAATTTAACAAGGTTTCCACAGAAAACATTAAATGGTGTGTGGAAAATGATGCTGATATTGATGGACCCAAAATGTGCAGCAAAGATGAAGTTGTTGTAAGGTTTATTAGTAATTCTACAACTAGTGTGGGCGAGAACAGCAAATCATAAGGAGAGGAAGAACAAGACAGTATTAACAGAATGTGTTTCATTACAAGCAACATTGAAATCAACCGATTTGTTGTCATGTCAATGTTCTCATTTGAACAGTAGGACAACATTAGCTACACAAACACACTGCAATTGTGAAAGATTAAAATGAACATAAATAAAAAAGTAAATGCATCCAGAGTTTGGAAGAAAGTGATAGACTTTTTAAAAAGAATACCAAGTAATTATTTATATTTAACATAGAGGTGGATTTACTTATGGGCCTACTATGCCCATGTGTATAATACCAATGTTATTAATTCTCTTATTTACATAAAATAAATAATCCATTTTTTAATAACTGTCAACCTTTTCCTCTCCATTACAATGAAAAATGGGTCTCTACTAAATTAATTGTTGACGACAAATACTCACTTGACACTGGTACATGTTACGTGGACTTTGATTGCAATCTGGCATTGGAATTAAACATGCCAAGTTGCTCAGAAAACTTGTATCAGATAATTCTTGATGAGTGGTTACCTACAAAATTTAAAAGACACAATACATTTGAATCATTTTAATAACATTTGAGAACACAAACGTTTTTACTAGAATAGAAAATTCAATTAGCACTTTTATCATGGAAGATAAAGAAAAGAGAAAAAAAGAAAAGAAAAAAAAAACATTAAGATTTTTACATTTTTGTATTCTACTTACATAGTATAAAGAATGTTTAGTAATGCTGCACCAAAAAAGGTGATTTTCCACCAGCAAAACTTGTTTGTCTGATGCCAAAAACGTGAATACTTGTTCCCTCATGTACCGAACAGAGGTGTCTAACGTGTTGTGCAGTCAAGAGCTACATTTTGTGAGTACTTAATATTGAAAAAAATATGTTTCTGGCAAAACATCTGTGTGTTTATCTGTGAACAATGCTAGCAACTAACCAAAAGCAGACTTTTAACCAAAATTGATAATCCCTGATCGATATTACTGACATCACAGCCCCTTGGATTTGAAATGGATAATTTGATTTTGGGATGTTCTTTATGTGTATTCTTGGCTATCCGGGATGAGCCGCGTGTCAGTTGATTGGACTGACGTTTCGGCCATCTTGCTGTGGGCTTCTTCAGAGCTATACTGCTGCCGTGTTTTTTATGTGATGACTCAAAGAAATTTTCATAATTTTCTTAAGAAAGGCACCAAGATTTTTTTTCTGGAGCAATGTAGGTTTATGAAAATTGCACAAATCTGATTTTCTTTGACCTCTCAGAATTTTTGAAAATAGCAAAAGTTGAAAATTATTTTGGTGTCTTCTGCTTCTACAATACTGAAGATAGAGAGTTTCTTCTTAATGAGATCTGTTCTTCAAAATTAAAAGTGAGGTCATGAACATTATTTTTTACGATTATTTTCACATAATTTAATGTGAAAAGGCAATTTCAAAAATAAGATTTTCTCAAAATCGCTTCAAGTTTTTCTTTTTTTTAGAGGAGTAAGATAGTGTCATGTTTGATTACAAAATGTTTTTACAAAACATTTTAATTCAAGTCCCTCCCTAATTTTCAAATATTGGAAAAGTTACAAATAATATTAGAAAGTATTAGCTTTTGTAACTTCACTAAATTTATTTCTTAAAATGAAAATCTTACCTAACATTCTGTTCTCCTCTGACCATAACAAGAAGAAAATAATATTCCCTTTAGTTTTAACAAAATACAATAAATGTAAATAATAATTCAAGTAGTGGTGCTACAATATATTGTGGTGCTAGACTCTTTCTTGTATTATTGGTAATGGTTATCTCATATTGCGTTTTCTATCCTTCTAACACTCGAGTCATCAACTGAAAATCTCAAAATTACAAAAAAACTATTCATACTTTGAAGGAAAGTGTACTTGAAATTATTTACAGTTCTAACACTGAGAAATACATTACTCCTCCCTTTTTTTCCTCCACACATCTCACCAGTTAACAGTCTATTACACTGTCTTACAAACTGAAATGACATACAAATACACATTGAAATATCTTTGCATTCTTTGCACATGATGTTCCCCCTGTTCAGTAGCACTGACAAAATTTCTGGGAAGCAAACTGGAAATTGACCACTGGTTTACTGAGCCATTAAGCTCTCTTAACAAGATACTTAAAAAAACAGTTTAAGTTTTATCAGTTTAACCAAGGAGTTGCCCAATGAACTAACACTATGAAATTATACAATAATGGGTATGCTAGACATCTCATTTTGTTTACTTTACAGTTGTGCACATTGTATCGAAATTCAAACTATCACCAAAAAGTATGAAATCTGTAGGACGAGGAGGACTCGATATTGGAGGAGAAAACCAATTTTGCAATGTCAAGCCCCACTAGACACAGGAGCACCAAGGATTAAAATTCTAGGCCCTCTGACATCACCCACATGGTCTGCGGAATATCTGGTTTTAGAGACTCCCAAATGTGTATATCCATCAAAATCTCAATTCCTTTGATTTTTGCAGAATTACATAACGTTCTACATAATCTATGCAATATATTCAAGAAAGAACAACTCCACATTAGTTTCTTCAAATTCTTCAAAAAACTTACTCTTCTTTTCACTTTTCAATTTTTAATATAAGCCACTGTAAATAATATATCGCATAAAACTAATGCTCTGTATTCTGTGATTGAAAACCGAGACTGACTTAATAAGTGTTGATCATAAATTAGGTTAACTTACCCCGGGGATGAATTCTTTTGGACCAATCGAGATGTCCATGTACAACTGCTCCAAAGTGCCAATGAGTTCAATTCTATTGCAAGACAAATTAACAACAGGTCTCATCAATCGTGCCGGACCTGTGAATAGGAAGAGACCAGGAAACTGTGTTCGATCACCTGGCACTTTAGGAATAAGTCCTATTTCCAAAGTCTGCGGCACCTACAAAACAGGACAATTCTCATGATGATACTTTAGTTTAAAATATTGCTCAAAATGTATTAATATAGAATTAAAAGGAAAAAAGTCAACTTGTAGGCTTATTTAATAATACATATTTTCAAAAATGTTAAAAAATACTTTTCCATTGAAAAATAAATCTAATAAATTTGAATATAAACAATGATGAATTCTATTAACTGTAATTTTCACTTCTGATCATTTGGCACTGCTTTATCTTCCAAGAAATATATTAAAACTATTAAAGACAAAGAAAAAGTAATTCCTCACTTTTTGCTAAAAGTTAAGCAAGTCAATGAATCTGCAGCTCACATCAGTTTCCAATTCTTCAAATAGACTGATTGATTGAAATGCAATATTTCATGTTAAATTACGCAGGTAAAAGAATAAACTCACCATTTTCCCCTCAATTTTCAGCATACGTAGCTCATCAACAAAAGTTCTAATCTGCTCGTTGGCAACATACCCCACCACACAACCGTCCAGCATAACAAGGTAAAATTCTGAATGCACTTTTGCACAGGCGCCAACAGAATCTATCGAGATCATACCCATAGATACAAGTAAATCAGGAATCTTGGCAACAAGTTTAGCTTCAGGAACAGGGGCAACTTGGCAATACTTTGTTAAATGATTCAATAATCCACAGGGAGCCCCGTCAGGAGTGTGAACAGGGCATATAAAACCTGCCAAAAGAAAGAACGGCATCAGTAAGAGATAAAATAACATCTATTCATGCTAAAGTGAAACAATCAAAATACAGTCAACAGAACAACATCTCTATGAAAGTAAATAATTTTTTCACGATTTTGTTTTTTCTGAAAATTGTAGATGTTGTCATTTGAATTTGGCTAGTTGGTGTGTGTGTGTGTGTGTGTTTTTTTTTTTTGGGGGGGGGGGGAGTTTTTGAGTAAATGACAGTTTCTGCTGACAACATAACTTAAGGATCTGTCCCTGCAGTCGTCAAAGATGGTAAGCACTAGTTTTTATGTTAATATGCATTACTTATAATCTTTATGAACTATTTGCAAGAAATATCATTTTTACTTGGTATATTATTTCAAATTAAATTAGTTTACCTTATGCGTATTTGTGTGTTATTAGTTTCTACTCCCCTTTATGGTGGTCTGAAGAAGAAAATGTGAAAAGTACAAATTGCATATTTTTTGATTTTCCCACTTATGACATTCAAAATTTTCAGTCTCTTTAAAACTGTGTTAATAATATTTTATTGTAATATTAACTGGTTAATATTGTAAATATTTTCTGAATAACATGAATTAAATTTTTTCAATCAAAAACTTTCTCCAAGTTTACTCAAAAATCAAATAAATAAAAATTTAATAATTGAACAAGAAAATAATTACATGAGAAACTACATTTAGAATAAGGAAAAAATTATACATTAAATGTGTGACATTAACAGTACTACCAATAAAAGAAACAAATTTGAATTTTTGATCCATTTACAAATCGGATTTGAGAAATCTTGTTTATCTTAAGATCACCAAGTCTCCTTTAATTTTCATTTGCTTCATCTTTTCTTTCAGAAAATGTAATTTTTTAAATTCATACAAAATATCATTAAAAACTTTGTAAAGATTGTGACATAAAAATTACAAAACAAAAAATTAATAATGGAATTTGCTTTAGTGTCCAACCCTCATTTGAAGATCTGAAAATAACTTAGGTTAGTTTGATTGAAATTTGCAATTCAACAGCAACCCATACTTCAAAGAGTTGAATTTTCAAATATATATTTTTCAATAATATATTGTATTTCCAAAGTTTCTAAGCATTTTACAATTCTAAACATTCTTTGCACACCAATAACAGATCAAATCAGAATGTTTTGGGGCATATTAATTTCATGCAGAGTGCTCAGAGTCAAAGATGAGTCATTCAACTTATCAGGGTTGGGTTTGCCTGCTCCAAGTCAGTGGTCACAAAATAAAATACTTTTAAAGCAAACAAACATTCACTCCATAGTAATCCATACCCCAAGCATCAGGAAGCAGTTGTCGCGCCTCTGTTGTTCTCATCTCTTGGAAGAAAGAACCTCTGTGGACTGCCCGGAAATGAGACATATAGCGCATGCGATTTATGTTTTCAGCACTTACACTAAGACCTGTAAAGAATACAAACATGGAAACGTTATTTTAAAAGTATATTCATAGAACTGGATTTATGAACTAAAGTACATTGTGAAGAATCACAGATCATACTAACTCAAATCACTGAAAGCAAGAGCAAACCAAGGGAGGCGGGACAGTTACAAGGCAATGGCAGGTGCCAGACTATATGAATTATTATCACAACACTCAACCGACATTACTGATAGCACCCCATGGGGAACTGAATGCACAATTGAGATTCAGGCTTGGGTCACCACACCCAGGGTTTTGAACTCAAATGAAACTTAAGAGCTCGATGCACCAAAATCGATTATTATTTATTTTTAATAAGGTATTTAATCAGACAGGAAATCCAGCTATGTGAGAAGTGGTGCATTTGAGAACGCCCCTCTACTAGTAGTTGTTCTAAAGAAAGATCGCCAAAAGAACAGTCTTCTTGTGAACACTAAAACGGTGTGGCAAAAAAGGTTCACAATCACAATTATCATTGAAACTACAATGAAATATTTTACATAACATGTTAAGACTGACAAATGTTCTCCTTAAGAAATAATTTTATCCAGAAAAGTACAGAACTTCATTTTCTAATTTAATTCTTCAAACCACCAACTACAACAAGAATTCTTATCATTATAGAATTACGAAAATAAACTTAATACTGTTAAGATAACATATTAGATAACTAAATATTGAAAGACCTCCCATTAGAACACACAGGTTTGTTTAAATGCTGTCTGTTTACGTTTACAGAGTGGACACATCAGCTTGGGCCTTCATAGATGTATGGTTGCAACACTTTGAAGAAAATGTAATGTATTTAAATTTCCAAGTTTAATTTTCGTATACCATTTGACAGTAGTCAGTGTCACCAGTCGCAGCATACTGCAATCCTAGACTCATTCACCTCCTATATATTGTCTGAGCATTGGGCCATTACACTACAGTTACAAGTAGATAAAGAAATTAGCTAAAAGAGAGCCAGACACACTGTTGGTACCCTCAAGCAAATCATATAATGGATTGCATCATATAATGGATTGGGTTTCAACGGTGAATATAATCTACAACACTATTTCCTGTGTCAAAGTGATTTTATTTTGAAGTTTCAGCAACTGGGGCAACATAGCAACTAGCTTTTTGCTTATTAATATGGTTTAAGGATAATGCTGCAAAAAAAGTTTTAGGGTGAACTATGTCAATAAGCAATAAAAAATTGAAAACCAACTGGATCAATTACAAGTGATTTATCGACATCGACACTATACAGTAGGGTCCATATTTTATTCTTTTGTCTTTTTCTGTCTTTATTAGCTCTAGGACAGATTCATCAAAATCAATTTTTCAGTTTAATAAAAAATTTTACAGGTGAAATATACGTTACTTAAATCAATTATAGAAGTCATTCCAGCTTTTATTCCTTAAAAATGCAAGAATTTAATTTTTTCCCTCATTTTTGACAGGTTATCCATAGAGATGTAATAATATCATAAGTTAGACTATTCTTAAGAACAATTAATACTATTCTATGGATAATACTTTTGTCTACTTCACAGCTCCTGGCTGACAGGGAAGAGGGGATTCTGTTACCTAGAGGCTTCACATTGTGATGATGTCACTGCAGAGTTGCAGACACTTAAGAAGAAAAAAAAATGAAATTTCATAGCGCAAAGTAACTAAGTTGAAGACGCCATTACTTCTTGCCATGCATCAGGAGGCAGTTTTGTGTCGTCTACTCTCGTGAGCTCTTACTAGTTTGTTTCTTGCTACTGTTGTGATCCGATGCAAAAAACGATCGCACGACATGTCTGCTGCCCGAGTAAGTGGCAACATCACTCTACCCCCACTCCAGCTGTCGAGTAGGCAGAAATATTCAAACAATGACTTAATCACATTTACCTTTATCTTGCATAAGCCCAAGACCGGTGTAAGAACTTACACTGCCAGTGGCAAGAAAGTGATTAATGTATCTTCCAACTTCTCCAGATTTTCTGACAATAGATTTCAAGGCACCTGCAACCAAAATACAAATAGTCTAAATCATCTTTCTTATTGGAGAATACAAACTCTACACTTCCTTATGTTCTTATTAAATTACTGCACAAGTTCACACACAGATGCATACACAACATGCATGCACTCACACACGCATACACATGCATGCACACGCACTCAAGCCCATACGCCCACGCGCCCACGCGCCCACGCGCCCACGCGCCCACGCGCCCACGCGCCCACGCGCCCACGCGCC